ATTTGCATAAGCAGGTGCTTAAACAACTGAGCTAACTGGCAGGCCCTAATCAGGGCTTTAGATAGTAGCATCTGTGGTCCAGTGTCTGTAGGCTGTGGAAGAGACCTTTTGTAGATGCCTTGGGGTCATGTACAAATAACATTCTGAATTGTGGCCCTGTTGTCCACGTTCTCAGATTTGTAGCATACGGAAGAACCTTTCCTCGGTCCCCCAGGTTTGGTGCTGGGATTTGTAGCTTTGCTATCTGTCCCTGGAGCTGGGATGTGGCTGGGAATGTTCCTCTGTCACATAGGCCACTCTGTGGTGGGACTGAGGCCCATGGCATTGGTAGACAGGGCCTTGGAGCTCCAGGTCAAGGATAGAGCCTTCCCCTAGTCTCCAGGGACAAACGTGTCATGCCAGAGCTTTTTGCACTAGAAGTTTCAGTCCCAAGGCTATGGGCCAGGGAAGAGACATTTTCTAGCCTCTGTAGGGTGACTTGGGGTGAAACTAGAGACCGTGACTGTGGAAGCCACTGGTCTTGAAGCTGCAGAATACTGGGGCAGCTATCTCCTATCCTGAGATGTGTACTGACCAAAGGCTTCTTGGGTGGCCAGGGACTGGCTGCATGCCTCTAGCGCAGGGTGATGTCTACAGTGGCTCTGGTAGCAGACTGGATGCTGGGGGCTGAAGAAGCTCAATGTGAGCTCCTCCTTTGGAGCACAGCACTCACACAGACCAGCCCCCTCTTGTGAGGACGTGGATCCAGTATGCTGCTTTCCCATCAATAGAGAGTTACTCCCCTCTTACCACCCCTACCCCCAGCCCCACCCCCATGTACCGAGAAAGCCAGGATTGAAGTTGAAATGAATTTTGCTTTGCTCTCTGGGCTCTTTTCTGACTTCGCACATTGTCTAGGTAACATGTCTTGCCGGTTTCCAGTGCTCTCTCTCAGTCACTCTTCTCAAAACACAGTTTTCCTTTGTGCCTCTGTGGCAGAGTCATGCTCAGGCCCTTCTATTCAGCCATCTTCCATGGTATTCTTCAAAAATTCCCTGAAGTGACTCTAATGGGTAGCTAAGATTGAGAAACACCAGCTAATGCTAATAGTAGCTGTGGTGATTGTTGCAGAAAACATGCAATTGCAAAATTGAATTTTCTGTTCCAGTATTTTTTCATTTATTATCTGGAATCTTTTATGAAGAAAACCTTTTTCTCCTTCACGATACGTTGTTGCTCTAAAATACAAGAAGTGCTAGATAAACACATGATTCTTTTCTCCCCATATCAGTGAGTCTTATTTTATTTTTAGAATATTATTTTCTAAACAAGTGGATTTTTACATATTGGATATGTTTCTGTACATTTCAGGCTTTAGTCAAATGTCTTGTGCTCCCTCCCCTCCCCTCCCCTTTCTCCCCTCCCATTCCCTTCCTTCCCTCCTCTCCCCTCCTTTCTGCTCTCCTCCCCTCCTCTCTCCTGTCCTCTCTTCTCCTTTTCCTTCTTTGTGCTCAGTTATCCAGTGGTGGCAATTTGGCATCTGAATATTCCACCTTTGCTATCTCTCTTACTCACTGGCACATTATGTCTCAGGCTGCCTCTCTATGTTTTCTGTACCGCGTCTGGAATAAGTCACTTCACTCAGAAGTCCCAGCTCACTTTGATAAATGTGATATTTAAAAATTATACCTCCAGCAACAGAGATGTTTATTGCCACTAAATTAACGAAGTATTAAAGTCTTATCCATGTAAATTATTAGAAATAATAATAATACAAAATTTATGAGCTTGTATTGATATTTCCAAAATAAAGCTAATATTTAAAAATTTTAAAGCTATTTTATAGGATAGTATCTTTTCCACCAAATTCAAATTCTTTGTTCCAGCTGACTATATGATTGTGTTATTCTATTATGTCTGGTGCATCTCTATAGGTACATGTATCCATCTAGTACGACTGTAGTAGTAAAACAACAAAAGCAATGGCTCCAGAACACTAATACCCATAACAGTAAACTGTTCACTGCAGCTTATAATTTATTTGTGATTATGTTTTCTTTTGGATATATTTTACCAAGAAAGAGTAAAAACATTGGGTTGGAATGATCTTGAAAATGCGGTTTCTCTGTTTAGTTAAGTCAGCCAAATTTGACATAAACTTGAATTCATTTGTTTTTGTTTATTTTCATTTTTATGGATTGTTCTTTTTAAAAAATTAAATTTACTTTAACATTGTATGCCATACTTGTATGTGCTCAGTCACAGCCATAGTGCAAGCTATATTAAAAAATGCCAGCTTCCATGTCACTCTTTTCCCTCTTCCCCCATCCTCAAGAGGTAACCATTTTTATTGATTTTGTTCTATTTTTCTGTCTTTCTTTTTGAAAATAAAAATGTACACATGTGTATTTATGAGCACATTATTAAATATAAGGTTCTGTGAGGCCTGCCAATCACATACGAACATAGGCTTTCCAGTTTCCAGAGCATGCACACAATGTCTTTCTGTTGGACTTCAGAAATTGGCAGAAAAGCCTGTGGCACCCCTGTTGTGTGCAAGCACCGAGGAGTCCCATAAGTGAAGACTTGCCTACAGTTACCGGTTGTGCATGTGGCCCAGTTAGAGCCAGTGCCCGTCAGTGTACCATGGCAGTAGAACACGTTCGGCATGCAGATTGCCCGCTCTCTCTTCCCACTTACTAACTACGTGGCCTTACGCAAGTTGCTTAACCTCTTTAAGGCTCAGTTCTTTCATCTGGGCAGTGCAGATACCTAGGGTACCTGTGTCGTGGGGTCATTAAGGGGAATCATTGGGATGACACACACAACCCTTAGGTCATGTGCAGGACCCAGAGTAAGGGCTTATTACATGTGGCTAAGATTGCTTGCATTCTGACTGGTACTTTCCTCATGCCACCCTGATGCTTTTCTAGGCATTCATTTTAGTAGGTGTGATGTTCTAGAGTTATCTTTGTCTTAGTTGGCATTTTTGTTTTCTGAACAAAATGATGAACAAAGTATGATGCGCACATACTTGTCTTTACCACACCAAGGAACTTTGTGTTCCTTTCATTACAAACCTTAGCATATGTGTAGTGTGTGTGTGTGTGTGTGTG